CCAACTATCCTTCCTCTAACAAAATCTGACATGTTGTAGCACAAGATAATTAGTGTGCGGAATACAATTATCCTCACAACTCTATAAATCAACCAACGGTTTTAACGTATTATCTCTATCAGTCCAGTACAATCAGTGAAACAATTACCTCCAACTAGCAACCTTTTGTGTTGTAAGTAAAGAGAAGGTTGTTTTGTTTTCATATGTATCAGTATATTACCGTTTTTCTAATCATCTATCATGGACCTGTAAATACGTTTATATAAAATTAGCAAAAAAGTTTTAGTCTTGTAATCAACTAATGTACTGCAGTGGGGACAAATGATAACTAGAAAGATCTTTTTTAGATTTTATTTATGAATAGCGCGGTAATTTTATATTGCTAACTCATTCATTTCATGTCTGTCAAAAGTGCTTTAGCTGCGAGTATAGTATCACAAACTTCACATTCATGGTTTACAAATTGGACTTTGTGGTGTGAAATAAGTTATAAATTATAGCTAAAAAAACCTTTGAATTTTCAAGAGAGAGAGAAAGAGTAGATAACTAAATAACAAATAATAAATTTTGCTTGAGAAAATAGCACTCTGGGAATGTATTCGTGACAAAGCCTACTTAATATGTACTTTTTCTTACCTGATTTTCTTAAATGAATTTATTCTAAGCATTTTTTAATTCCAGATTCGGCAAAAACATTTTCTTAGATTCGTTTCATTTTGTATTTCATCTATCCCATAATCTTTGGGAATTGTGTTAAACGTAGCTATAAGATTTTAAGTTTGGTTATGAAGATATCTATGAAAATTTAAGTCTTATTTTGTAAGTAGGTGGACGGAAGTTATGTACAATTGTGATTAATGAAAGGTTATTTTAGGACATGAAAAGTTGCTTCCCTTTTATGTTGTTGTTAAAAACGGAAAAACACAAAATGTGAAACTGCAAGTTTCCTTGTATCTCCGCATGAACCTAACAAACCTTCATGCTAAATTTGGTGAAGATCCATCAGCAGGAGGTGAATAATGATAAAAAATGCAAAAACGCTCATAAAACCACACAACCCAAAATGCGAAACTGAAAATTTGTATGTACCCCCCGCATGGACCTAATAAACCTCAAACCAATTTTGGGGAAGATCCATCCAAACCCTGCGAAGTAGTTACATGGGCATACAACAGATAGTACTATTATATTTATATAGATATTTGTTTTGTAATAATAATTCATTACGAAATTATCTGAAAATCTTTCGGAAAATGAGCAATCATTATCTTACCCAAAACAGAAAATCTTAATTTCTTTGAATTTTCGACAGTGTTATTGAAAATAAAACACAAGTTCCCTAAAACCTACCATCAGACAACAATACCTTACAGATACCGTTTTGTATTCCTCTTAAATCTATATAACTGTCTTTTAAATTCACAATTCACGGAACTAAATTCAGAAACCAAGCATTTTTAGTTGGAATTAAACTGACTTACTCCGCCCGTTTCTCCTCATATGAGACTTTGCCTCAACTATCCCGAAAAGCTTAAACTGAAAATAATAAGAACAGAGGATTTGTTTGTTTGTAATTAAGCACAAAGCTACACAATAGACTATCTGTGCTCTGCCCACCACGGGTATCGAAACCCGGATTCTAGCATTGTAAGTCCGTAGACATACCGCTGTGCCACTGGGGGGCTGAACAGAGGCAGTAATGGATCACATTAATTCCTTTATCATTTCTAGTCCAATAACGTGCATTCCCTAGGGAGAAGGGAAAGACATTATCTTTGGAAAACAATATGTAATATACAAAAAAAAGAAAAAACGCAATGCTTTATAAATGTCTTTTCCTGATAATATCACTGCCAGAAGAATGAATTGAACTTCTGGAATTTGTGTTAAGTCAAAATTATTTGCTTAAGGTAAATGTTTAATTTAGTAAAAGTCTTGTCTAACAATTTCATTTGAATAAAAAAGTGCATATAACACACACACAAAATAATTTTGCACGATGAATGATAATTTTAAAATATTGTTTTTCTCATAAGTTTCACGATATTTTGCAACACATACATGCATGGTATGCGTTACTCTATTATTATTTCACAATAATTTCGCGTGTAAATACGTGGAAACGTTTATCAATAATGATTTTGTTCTTCACCAGAGGTACATCACTCCCTATTAAAGGCTATTATTATTTCACAAGGCCTTTACACGCAAGCTTGTTTCTTTGTCTGTTGTTAAGCACAAAGCTGCACAAAAGGAATGTATGTGCTATGCCTGACACGGGTATCGAAACCAGGTTTTTAGCAATATATAATCTTATCGCTGAGCCACTGATGGCTACACATCAATACATGAAAACGTTTATCAATAGCGATTTTGTTTTTAGATATTCAGCCTTTATTAACATCTATCTATTTGAAATATATATTTCATTTGCTGAAAATATGCAGTTTTGATGTCCAAAATAACCAACTTTTCTCTCTCTTGTGAATCATTTACCACAGAAGTACATCTGTTTTTGCTCCAGTTTAGCAACATGATGAAAAGAAGACAACATAGTTAATGGAGAAAGTCAACAAACTGCACAACGCCTGCCATAACTTGGTAGTGGGCCGTCTATTTAGTGGGTTCACATTTCCTTCACATTCTCAGTATTGATTACTTTCCGTTGCAGCTCGTGAAGTTCAACAGTGTGTGGCTTATATTGCATTACAGTCAGAGCTGGTGAACTTGTTGAAAGCACAACTGTATGTTGGAGTTCTCAATGGTACTTCTATAATAAGAATGACAAACGTGTAGGATAAAAGCGTGCACACATTGATAAAATGACTTCTTTATCTGTTGAAGAGTCATCTGATTGAGAAAAACATAGACACACACAAAAAATTGGAAATTTATATTCTTATTACTCTGCTGCACAAAGAACTTGGTGCATGCGCTGTTGATGATCTGACTGCCGCAGTAAGAGCGTAGCAGGTGAAGCTGGCTGTCAGTGTTGTAGAGAACAACCTGTATGTCTCTACTGGGTGATACTTAACCGAGAGACAGCTGATGACACCGGTAACTATATTCAAGAAGTTTTATTAATTGGACAAACTGTAACAACGTTATACTATATTACCTCACGAAACGATGTGGTTTCCAGCAAAAATGTATATTTTGTGTTAACAGTCATGTGTATGAGAAATAGCTCTTGAAGATTAATCATTACACATATACTTATTATTTTACTTGACTGTTCTCGGGTGATGCCTAAAATGAATACTTATTCTACCCAACTGATACACATACCACAAAAAAAGTTACCTTAAGGAGGCATTATGTCGACGCTGAGCCATTCGGAGAGATCGGTGTCAGAGGTCACTGGACTAGCGCCCACTCTTAACCCTGACGAAGATTGCATAAAAGAAAGAAAATGGTGGTGTTTTCTTTTATCGAGTATTTTCACCTTTCTTTTCGGCTTGATTATTATATTATTATGGCGAGCTTTTGCTTTCTTAAGCTGTCGGAAAGAAGGATCGGGGCCCTGTCACCAACATTCTGCAATCAAACACCGACAACAACCGCAAGGTCCTATACCTGGGCAACTAGGAAGCAAAATTTACCAGACAACAGAGATCGGTTTCATGACAGAAGCAAAGGATTGGGCGGGAGAACTAATATCTGGCCAAACCAACACAGGAAGAATCTTGGTAAGTTCAACCTCCTTTGGTTTTTCTTAGAACGATATGCATTTTGAAGCATTAGATGATCACGAAATAATTTACAATTCAAATGATGTGCCGAGAAGCAAAGATATCTCACGCTAAATACATTTTGTTATTTTTTTCTTTTTGGTAGTTTGAAAAGTTTCTGCTTTTTCTTCCGTGTGACTTGTGAATCAAACGGTTTACCTTCATTCACGAAACTCGATATTGAATATAAAGTTTTCTAGTTTACTTTTACGGAATACATAAGAAGCAAATATTATTACACCAACTTAATGACACAAATACAAAACGTCTATAACTTACTTTTCATAAGTGACTTCAAATATAAGATCATTCTGATGTTAACTTTAATATAAACGTGTTTTATTCCTTATCCTGGACACAGATAAAACTCTTACTTTAAATTGATCATTCTTCCAAAACATTAAACTTCGACCCAAGATCACTAAGATTTATAATAAGGCTGTATTTCTTCAAAAAAATTTCTTTTATCTTCACCCTTATCTTTTTCACTGTATTATAAGATTAATTTCGAGGTATTTTACCATATACTCTGTATAGACTTAGACGAGAAAAAGTGAAATATGTGAATTGTAAAGATTCGTAAACGAAATTGTTGATAAAGGTCTATGCTAATACATGATTATAGTTTGTTTATATACAAGGTTCATTAGTACCTAACTTCTAACATTACACTAAAGCATTTACCTCTTCAGCCATATTCAAAATTTACAAAATCTTTTATCTTCATTCAAAAATGTAAAATTGTTGAGCAGTACTCATGTTTGTTTAATAAGATAACCCATAGTGTTTCCAGTGACAATCATTGTTAGGGTTACTGCATATGGATATTTATAATTTGTAGATTTATTTTCTCATACTAATGCTATGTTTTAATAAGTTCTTAGAACATAAATAATACTTTTTTTTTTACTTACTTCACACGTATTTGTGTACAAGTAAGAAGCTACACGTCAATTTTGCAACTTAAATCCAGAACTTTCTTCAGGGTAATTCCTGGATAACGAAACCAACTTTGTGAAATCAGTTTTTGCTATATCATAACACATAGATGGAGAACAGACAGCTCAGCCACCTTTGGAGTTTTCAAAAGTAGGTTCGCTACAAAATTCGAGATAAACTGTACATCAAATATCCAGGTCGCAAGATATAATTTCATTCAATGCAACAAACATGGAAGGGATTGTGTATACTCATAATTCCCGAACTTTCATAAATTGCTCATGTCCACAGTGCATCATCAAGTGGAAAAATGAGCGCAAACGTAGTAGAAGATAGTAAACGACGATGGAAATGTTCTGAGCAATTAATGGTGTATTTAATTAATCACTTCTAACCACGTGCAAACCTTAAATCATTGTAAACCCAATCAATCAACAATAAATGATAATCAAGTGTTCTCTTGAAAATATTTATGCTATGTAATAAATCTCGTAATAAATTGATTGTAGAACATTATGAAATTATCTACTCATGCTAATAAAACGATAAATTAAAAAATGTATGGTCCTTTTAGACTTAAGTTCTTTAAATTTTTGGTTTCCGAGATAAAATGATATCAATATTACTAAAATATGTTGTTTGGAAATGAGGAGTAATAAAGTTATCAGTTTTACGTCAAGTGTAGTTTTAATTGTTGCACTATCACTAATAGTGATTTATTTTGTTTCACAAAAATTAGGATGAATATTGTTCATAATCTGAAAATTATTGTTGTTAGTTGTTACGATGTCATCATTGTTATGTACCTAACAGAAAATCTGAAAAATTAAAACAAGTTGAGATCTTGATTTTTCGCTATAGAAATGCTTAAAGTCATAATTTCTTTCCAAGTAAAAAAAACAAAAACGACGTGTTTTTTTTGGTAAAATGAAATATAAAATCCTTTATCAGATATTTCAGCCTACTACTTCCGGTAACACCGTTCCCAACGTCAGGGCTTGTGACTATAGTATCCGCTTAGCCTAAAGTCAGTTGTATATGGTGGATCACTTTCTAAGTTTACCTTGTCCCAAGGACACAGGCCATCTCTAAATGAACGATGTCTATAATGAACAGATGTTGTGCCTGCGTTTATAATTTCCAGTATCCTCCAATTCATTTACCCATGGTCTCTTCGGCATATCTTCCAATAATTAAATAATTATTGGTTTTTTTTGAAGAACAATATTAATTTTAATCATGTTCGATCACATGGAGAAACTTTATAAAAAACAACAAAAAAACCTTTATTTTGTTTTCCCAATAGCATGCTCAGTGTCAGTTATTTGAGATATAATATTTTGCTTTTAATTACGTGTTTGTAATGGTAATTCTGGACGCATATTTTATGGTATTTCTGGGTACATATTTTATGATCGTTCTGGACGTATGTTTTATGGTTGTTCTGGACGTATGTTTTATTGTAGTTTTGTTTTTCTAACAATATGTCCGATACTAATCATGTTGACATATTGTTTTTCTGATAACTAATTGTTTATAATTATAAGTTATTCGAACAACACGGCCTGCAATGGTAATTCTGAATACATATCATTATTTTTCTTCCTACTTGCAAGCATTCTACTAGATAGAAACTCAGTTATGATAATTTTGTGCAGTCATCGTATTACACAGCAATAGCAACTTCTAATGATCAATGTATATGTATATCAATGGTAACTTCTAATGGTAAATGTATATGTATATCAACGATAACTTCTAATGTTCAGTGTATATGTATATCAACGGTAACTTCTAATATTCAGTGTATGTGTATATCAATGGTAACTTCTAATGATCAATGTAAATGTATATCAATGGTAACTTCTAATGGTCAATGTATATGTATATCAATGGTAACTTCTAATGGTAAATGTATATGTATATCAATGGTAACTTCTAATAGTAAATGTATATGTATATCAACGATAACTTCTAATGCTCAGTGTATATGTATATCATTAGTAACTTCTAATGAACAATGTAAATGTATATGAATGGTAACTTCTAATGGTCAATGTATATGTATATCAATGGTAACTTCTAATGGTCAATGTATATGTATATCAATGGTAACTTCTAATGGTCAATGTATATGTATACAGTAACTTCTAATGGTCAAGGTACATGGTTAACGTATAAATCATATTTCTAATCTTAAATACTTTGAACAAATAGAAATATTCTATTAAGCATTTGTACAGTATTGATAATCCTTAGCAAGTAATGTCGTTATATTAGTAACACTAATCTTCATAGTATTTTTTGGAAAATGTTACCATTTTACGGAAGCGTGTCTTATAGCGACTCTTGGAAATACCTTTCTGCCTTGACCTTCGGTGGCTCAACAGCACGTCTGTGGGTTTATAATGCTAAAAATCGGGTTACGATACTCGCGGTGGGCAAAGCACAACAGATAATCCAACGACAACAACTTTCTGTGCCAGTGTTTAGAACCGTGCTGCGGTTCAGAAGGAATAAGGATCGCGCCGAAACGCCGTCAAACACTCTCGGCGCTGTCAGTCGTGATTGATTTATAAAAGTGATAGTCAATCCTGTTATTCGGCCCCAAGAAATGGTCAAAGCTCTTGTGGCAGTTGCTACTGGGTGTCTGTTTTCCCTTTGGCCAGTAATTGAAATTAGTGGTGGCTATACCATAGTTCTATAGGAATCTTCGATCTGGCTGTTTAATGAAATGCCAATTGTTTCTTTCTGTTTAAAGTTCTTGGCCTCATTTCTAATTTCATAAAAACTAACTCAATAGTTACCGCTTCCAGAGTTGAAATCGCCAGCAATAATAAAAAGTATTCAAAATATCAAAAAATTGTTTGCAATTAAAAGTAGACCAATGAGAAGAATTTTAGAGTACACTTGGTGTATAGCGTTATTCGCAATTACTTATAATGGCACATTTCAGAAAATAAGCGCCATTAGCTGGAAAATGTGCAAGTTAAGAAGGTTTGAATTTTTACAAACGAAAGTAAAGAATATTGCAAAGTTAAACACATAGAATTGGTAAAGTAATGTGTCCAATAGGCCTCATATTTGTGTAGTCTGGTGTGATTCTTACAACAAATATGGATAGTTGTTTGTACTTTTTGTTTACTATATTCACGTATAACCAATCCTCAACCGCCAAAAACGTCGTTAATGGGTTCAATAGGCCTCATATTTGTGTAGTCAGGTGTGATTCTTACAACAAATATGGAACGTTGTTTGTATTTTGTTTTACCTAAATGTGCAGAAGATTATGAATGTCAAATTAACTATTGGGGAAAGTACAGTACTGCTCTTTTTGAAATTGTTATTTTTCATTTCTATACAGTAACAAGTTACAAAAACAATGTATGATATACACATCAAAGAAGAAATTAGTAAAGATCTAGAAGTATTGAAAAAGTCTGGAATGATGAATAGACTGTAGACTATAAAGATATCACGGTTGCTGAAAGATCGTCAGAACGTTCTAGAAAAACAAACCCAAACTTGTGGGGTCCTTTACATAACAATCAAGTGATTCAACTTGAAATACGAAAAACGTGCTTGAACAATTCCACTTGAAAAAACTTAATGTTAAGCCCTTAAGCACGTTTTGCGCCACGTAGAGGAAGACAAACTACAGACACTTTTATGTTACTTCCCTGTAATGCTCATGGTTCTTTTCCTTAACGGTTGTAAAAATTCAATATGTTTCCTCTCCAACCAACCAATTACTCTCAATGTAAGTTGATAAAGTTGTTTCAAATGTCCAGCTTAACTTTCATTGCTGCATAAAGAATGTATGACAAATGGGTGGAACTGCATTAAGACAAAAATCCAGTTACATTCCAAAATCCATACGTACACTTTTGACAAAAAATTAAAAAATTAAATAACTGACTTTGTAATCTAATGTATTTCCAATAAACTGTTGCGCTTTTGAAAAATTTGGAAATAAAATAAGCTCGAATAATTGACACTGGGACTGATGAAGAAAGCAT